AATGACTTCCATTTTAGATTGGGGGAGTAAATAACAAAATGAGATAAAAATAAACTCTGCATGATGGAGAAAATAGTGTGTGTCTTTGCAACATGCTCCATAAGGTGTGTTTCAAAATAGCTGCTGCCTCTGCTGACTCCTAAAAATGTAAAGGTGCAGTACAAAGAAAACAATAAGTGAACAGCTGCATATCCCTAAATAAGCCTAGATTGTGCAATCTTTACTCATACTGGTGACCACTTACTCACACAATTAGACCTAATAAAGCTAGCATGCATTAACATCAATCCATGTTTTTATCCAGGTCTTAGCATGCTATATTTGAAAATGTCTGGTTAAAAGCTGATCTCACTTCATAAAATAAATTGGTTCCTGAAAAGTTAATGGATGTGAGGTAGAAAATCAAATCTCTATCCTGTGCAGGTTTCATCTTGTGATCTCACTTGTAATTATTTTGTTATTTTAAGATGGGTGAATCAGAACCACCAGTGATGATGAAATGTTCACTACTCAATAGAGATTGATGTTAATTGTAGAATTCCACTGGGCCTGGGAGCAATACCATTGTTAGCTTCCTCTAGATAAAGCCAACAAGAATTAAATCAACAACATCTGCAGTATTGCGTCGGTCATATACTGCTTGTTAGTAATATAGAGCAAGAGGGAGAAAATGCTGCTGGCATTCTACAATTCCCATCTCCACTGCAAAAGTGTATAATGTATTTTTCCTTTACGAAAATAGTTACTATTAGTCTTTCATGCAAAACTATTTAACACAGTTGATTTGGTATTGTGCCATCGGTATTCATTCATTTCATAAGCATTAGACCACATTGTGAACATTTTATGTGGCTTTTGTTCTCTTGCTAAATGAGACTAAAATGAAAGGAAAGGGTGTGTGGAGGGAATTATTTAGAAATATGCTGAATAGTTCTAAATAATTCAGATAACTACAAATCTGGATGCTTGCCAGCAAGCAAGCAACGCTGATACTTATCTATTTTTTTTCTGCTTCACTTCATCAGATACATTTAAACTGGACTCTAGGAGGAATGTTATCCATGAGGTGTACAGGGAATTAGCTGAAGCACTTCCACTGACTATAGCAAGAATTGTGTGCCTAATTCCCAGTGTGTACTCTAAAATGACCCCTAGATATTTCCAAACAAGCTGTTAAGCTGAAAACAAAGCAGATCCAAGAATAGAGAAGGGAGGATGCTTCTGATATTTCAAGTAGTTCACATTGCAGAAGTCTCCCCCCCCACCACACACACAGCTTTTATTGTTCCATCAACAACATATCCAAGTTCTGTAGTATTACTGCAATAGTTATCCAAGTCAGAGATCTGTGGAGGAGGTGCCACTGACAAAGGAGAGTAACTTCAGGATAGTCAATTTTTCTTCTATCACTGCTTAAGAATTCCGTTTAGAGGACTCTTTCCTTCTCCTCCCCCTGGATAGGTGACTTGCTTTATTTTCATGTCTGAATGGTGTGAGGTTTCTCTATGCCATGTAATATCATGCTGTAATAATTGGAAACATGGTAATTTTTGTTTGAACTCCATAGAAAACAGTATTTATTACAAATTACAGCTGAAGGCAGATGGGAAATCACTTGCCTTTAAATCCCACACTCTACAGTGCAGATTAGGTTCTTAAAGCTTTTCAGAAAGGTACTTCCTACAGTGTTCAATTTCAACAGATCTGATATGGTTGTCTATAGGAGTCTCATTGACAAGAGATGATTGGTTCAGTCTGCATCAGGTTCCATTATAAGCAACATAAGTTCCTCGCTTAAAAATGGCAGTGATGAGATGCTGAAAGAAAGTTACATACTTATATCTTGCTTTATTTTGGTGCCCAGAGTGAACTTTGGTGTCCTGCATGGATGGAGATTTAAACTCAAGACTGTTCCTCTGAATGGTTTATATGCAAAGGACCTGAGCCTGTGAAGGGCTGATCACTTCTTGCAAGACTCTGAGTGCTTGCTAATCAACATTGGGGATCTCTCTGTTTTTCTTCCTTAGTGCTTAGGGAAGGCTTGAGTTTAGGAATGTATGGATTATGGAGCTGGATTTGTTGGTGAGTTGGTTGGTGTGTGATTATTGGCTAAGAGAGGAAGTCTAAAATATATATTAAAATATATTAAGCTATGCTGACACATTAAAGGCATACAAACATAAGTTTGGCACTTATTGATCGATAACTGAAACTGGACAGGTATTAGGTCTATTCCCATTAAAATCCATGGGGTCTGAAGGTATTCAATATCTTCTAGGAGGATATTCTATCAGAGGACTGGAGAGTAGAAAGTGAGATTGCTATTAGAGCAGGGTGAAACTTTTCAGGAAAATCATTTATTCACACACACACACACACACACACACACACACACACACACACACACACACATGCAGTTTTGGTTGACCTATAACTATTTGCAAATTTGTCATGAATTTGCCAAATTTTTCATCCAAAAATAAATACACATTTCAGATATAATACTATTCACAAAATAAGCAGTGGGAAAGGGGAAAGAGTAGTAGCCTCATAACTTTTAGTCCAGTGGTTAGGGCACGCACTCAAGATGTGGGTGATCTCGGTTCAATCCCCAACACCACTTGCTCTAGTGAAGGGATGTGAATGTAGGTCTCCCACATTAGCACTGGGGTGGGGCTCCCTCACTTTCTCCTGGTGAAGTTGTTTTACATTTAATAAACAATTAGCTATTGGAGCAGGGACTTGCAGTTGGGTCTGCTACATCTTAGATGAGTGCACGTAGAGTCATTCTCACTCTTTCTTGCTCTAATAACTACTCTGTGTCATAATGAATGAGTATGAATGTCACTACAACTCAGCAGAACATGGGAAAAGGGAGGGGCAGGAAGAGCTAGCTGCACCCAGGATGCACCTCTAACTTATGCCACAGGCATAAGGTTCCTCGGTGATATTGCACCACTGAAGGATCAAGTGTAACAGAGCTCCCTTTCTCCCTTGTACTGGGGTTGGGGTGGGGCTAGCGCAGGAGGTGGCTCCACTACCATTTTTAGTCTTACACCAGTTTTATTTTAGCAGAAAGGTTCCGTCCACAAGGAGATAACTCTGTGGTCATGTGCAGCTAGAATATGCCCCCTAAGTGTCACAGATCTGCTGTAGCAGACCAGAGATCGATCTGAGGCTGCAGAGGCAGCTGGTGCAGCTCATTGCCTTTGTCCTTCAGCCTCAGTCCCTCAGGCAACTACTGCAACATCTCCTCCTCCTCCAAAGCCATGATGAATGCTTCAAAATCAATATTGGGAGTATGAAGACAGCCAGCCCAGCCTAACATCACAGACAAATGACTGAAGGCACTCCTTCTGTCACGGGGAAATGGACAACAAAGAAGTAGATAGGCACACCAGCCTCTGTACTACTTTATTCTTCTCACACCCTTCACACTATCATCCTCCCTACCTACCCACTTTTCTTTATCCCTCTCTCTGCTACTTCATAATGTTCCTTATATTACTCTGAATGCTCAGACACAGATCCATTTTATACAAACCTAGGTCCCTTTGTTTGTTGTGCATGCACAATATCTTGTGAAAGCACTCAGTCCAGACCATAAGATCCAGACAAGATCCAGACTGTATATATTAGTTCTTTCACTGAATGGTAACTTAACTGTCTTGTTAAAAAGTGTATTACAAAAAAGTAGCCATTTTTCATAGCTCAACTAGCGGAAACTGCCTTCCATTATAAATGCTTTACTATATTAAGTGTTTAAAGAGAGGTACAACAAAGAGTTCATAATTATACTGTCATCAAAGGCTCTCCATGCCCTTACTTCCCATGTTTGAGGAAATAATCAAGTGATATACATAATCAGGAAGATGATTACTAAATCAATTAAAACACTGCTTAATTTGTTGCTCACAGCAGCTGTTATTGGCCCTGGATTTCAGTTAATGTTTCCCTCCCCGTTGGCTGTTACAGTGGAAAGTACTGGCAGAACCTAGCTTATCCTGTTATCTTTTCTGACCCTTCACAGTAGTGCTGGTCTCTGGCACCACATCAGTCTTCTGATGGGGAAATGTCAAAAACATTTCTTGCAGCTTTTTATTAAGGCCCTAGACCAATGGGGTATATGGGGTTGTCAGGGAGGGGTAGTACCTCTGATGGCGGAGCAGTCGTACTCCTAGGAGTAGCTCATCCACTTTGGTCCCCACTTGACACCCAGCTCTCACCTGTGGCTCCAAGTAGCTGTCAGCATGCGACAGTAGCCACACCCCGGAGACTGTCTCGACAGGCGGGCTAAACCAGGTGAGGGTAGCCGATGAGTATGAGACTCTCGGTGAGTTAGGGCCTGTCTACCCATTGCATGCGAAGGCTGGATCCGGCTGACTGAGGCAACCTGGTTCAACCTGGTTTAATGGTCAGGAAGGCGGTGACAGCAAGCGTTGTGGAACGCTTAAGAGCACGACAAGACATGTAGGCGTCCTGGTCATCCACTGCGCCCTGCCCTATCTCCAGCCGTCTCGACTTCTGTCCTGCCACTGGATACAGATAGGAACTGGGAAGAGAGAGTGAGGCTGACGTTGCGCAACTCTCCCTCACTTTAATCCAATTCACGCGCAGGTCTTGACATCATATCATATCATATTACATCATATCAAGTCCTGTGGCGATGGGCGAGCGACAAAGCAGCAGGTTTGGATACACTGGGAGCGGTAGCCGTGGACCTGCACATAGGCAGCTCAGGCATAATGGTCATTCCTCACTGACCGAAGCAGCAGTGGAGCTCGGCATCTTCTTGAGCGACTGAGCAGCCCTATTCAGGATTGCACTACTCACCTCCGTAGAACAAGGAGGGGGCTAGAAAAGGTGCCCTAAACATTGCCTGCTTCACCTTACCCTGGCCAGCATACCGCGGCTGGCGGGGCTCCCATAAAAGCAGTCGAACTAAAACAAGAACAAAATTTAGAGTGACACCAATCACTATTGGCACATGGAATGTGCGCATGTTACTGGACAACATCACGGCAGACAGACCGGAGAGAAGAACAGCACTTGTCGCTAGAGAGCTGGCACGTTACAACATTGATATTGCAGCCCTTAGCGAAACTCGCCTTGCTAATGAAGGACAGCTATCCGAGTCAGGCGGTGGCTATACATTCTTCTGGAGTGGCCGCAGCAGTGATGAGCGTCGCGAATCTGGAGTTGGCTTCGCCATCAAGAATCATCTTGTTCAGAAACTTGCCAGTTCCCCCAAGGGTATGAATGACCGGCTCATGACAATGCAGCTTCCGCTTCAAAAAGGAAAACAAGCTACTTTGATCAGCACATATGCTCCTACAGTGACCAACCCAGAGGATGTGAAGGATAAATTCTACGAAGAACTAGATACTCTGCTATTGTCAGTGAACCGCACAGACAAGCTGATTCTGCTTGGCGATTTTAACGCAAGAGTCGGATGTGATGCCGCAGTCTGGGAAGGAGTCATCGGGAAAAATGGAGTGGGAAAGTGTAACAGCAATGGTCTGTTACTGCTGAAAACGTGTGCAGCACATGACCTTCTGATCAGCAATACTGTCTTCTGCCTTCCTACCCGTAACAGGACTTCGTGGATGCATCCCCATTCCAAGCACTGGCATTTGATCAATTATGTCATCATCAGGAGAAGGGATAGACAAGATGTCAGGGTTACAAAAGCTATGTGTGGCGCTGACTGTTGGACGGATCATAGGCTCATGGTATCCAAAATGAAGCTCCGTATCATGCAGAAGAGACGACCACAAGGCTGTAAGGCTTTCAAAAGGATTGATGTGTCGAAGCTGAAGAACAGCCGCATCACTGAAAATCTAGCGGAAGACCTAGAGAATGAACTTGCTGATCTTCATATTGAGGATGACGCTGAGAAAGACTGGGAGCGATTCCGCAACAGTGTCCATACAGCTGCATCGAAGGTATTGGGACCCTCCATGTGCACCAGGCAAGACTGGTTTGATGAAAATGATGCAGAAATCCAGGCCTTACTTGCTGAGAAGCACCGCCTGCATCGTGCATATCAAAACGATCCATCCTCAGCGGCAAAGAAAACCGCCTTTATCAACACTCGCAGAACAATACAGAACCGACGCGCAAAATGCGGGAATTGTGGCTGAGTGCCAAAGCAGATGAAATACAGGCACATACAGACAGGAACGACTATAAGCAGTTTTATGAAGCCCTTAACACACTCTATGGTCCACAGTCTTCTGGGAGCTTTCCCCTCCTGAACTCTGATGGTACTGTGCTCCTTACAGAGAAGACGCAGATTCTCCAGAGATGGGCTGAACACTTTGAAGCAATTCTCAATCTCCCCTCAGTCATCAATGATGAGGCCATTGACAAGATGTCCCAGGTTGCAGTCAATGACTCCATGGATGTTTCACCAGAAGAGGACGAAGTGAAGAAAGCTATCAATCAGCTGTCAAGTGGCAAAGCCCCAGGGTCAGATGCCATATCAGCAGAGGTATACAAAGTCGGTGGACCCGTGCTGCTACGGAAACTCACTGAGCTGTTTCAGTCCTTCTGGAAGTAGGGAACCATTCCACAAGAATTTAGAGACACGTCCATCTTGCACCACTATAAGAGGAAGGGCAATCGCCAGGTATGCGAAAATCACCGTGGAATCTCACTGCTTTCTACAACAGGGAAAGTTCTTGCATGGGTTCTGTTGAACCGATTGATCACTCACCTGGAGAAGGGCTTACTGCCAGAATCACAGTGTGGCTTCTGCAAGGGACGTGGGACTATTGACATGATCTTCACTGTGCGTCAGCTACAGGAGAAATGTCAAGAGCAGAATCGTGAACTCTACACAACTTTTATGGACCTCACGAAAGCATTTGACTCTGTCAGTCGCCAGGGCCTGTGGAGGATCATGTCGAAATTTGGCTGTCCAGACATATTTATACAAATTGTACATCAATTTCATCACGGTATGATGGCTTATGTCCTGGATGATGGTGAAACATCTGAGGCCTTCCCAGTCACCAACGGCATCAAGCAAGGGTGTGTTTTAGCACCCACTTTGTTCAGCATGATATTGTCTGCCACTTTGACTGATGCCTTTCAACACTGCACTGAAGGAGTAGGCCTGAAGTATAGAACTGATGGGAAACTATTTAATCTGAGGCGACTGCGTGCCATCACCAAGGTGAAAGAAACTGTACTTCGAGACTTTCTTTTTGCCAATGATTGTGCTCTGAATGCTAGTACAGAGCCAGAAATGCAAGCCAGTATGGACAAGTTTTCAACTGCATGTAATAACTTCAGTCTCACCATTAACATCAAGAAGACTGAGGTCATACACAAGCCAGCTCTCCACGCTTCGTACTCAGAACCATCCATCACTGTAAATGGACAGAGACTTCAGACAGTGGACCACTTCACATACCTGGGCAGTACCCTTTCCCGAGCAGTGTCAATCGATGATGAAGTAAACTGCAGAATTGCTAAAGCCAGCTCTGCATTTGGCCGATTGCGCTCCAATGTTTGGGAACGTCAAGGGATCAGCCTACCAACGAAGCTGAAGGTCTACCGAGCAGTGGTGCTTCCAACTCTGCTGTACGCCTGCGAGACGTGGACTGTCTATCGGAATCATGCACGAAGGCTCAATCACTTCCACATTTCCTGTCTGTGAAAGCTTCTAAAAATCAGATGGCAGGACAAAGTGCCCGATACTGATGTCCTTACTAGAGCCAGTCTGCCGTCAGTTTACACATTGATGATGAGAGCCCAGACCAGGTGGGCCGGACATGTTGTGAGAATGTCAGATGAACACATTCCTAAACAGCTCTTCTACAGAGAACTCACTCAGGGAAAGCGCTCCCATGGAGGACAAAAGAAGCCGTTCAAGGACACGCTGAAGACCTCTTTGAAGTCCTTCGAGATCAACACCGCCACATGGGAAACCTTCGCACTGAACCGTTCAGCATGGCACAGCCTCATTCACACAGGCAGTAATACCTCTGAGGCGAGGCGTATTGCTGAGGCTGAAAAAAAGCATGAGCTGTGCAAGTCCAGAGCTGCTCGTACACCATTGACAGTGCCATTATATGTCTGCCCAATGTGTGACAGGATGTTCCACACCCAAATCAAACTGATCAGTCATCTTTGGACGCACAGAGCCCGGTCATCGAAAGAATGAGTTGTTGAGGTCTTCATTGATAACGATGGACGAACATCAGACCAATGTCAAATGAATTTAATGGAAAGACTCCGACTGACATCTGTGGGCATTAGATTAGATCCAAAACTCCTTGAAGAATCCTCCACTCATGTACCTTTCACCCTTGTATTTTATATATTTGTGAAAACAATAATGCCAAAAAAAAGGCATTGATGCTATTGAAAGAACAATGCTAATGACACCCAGTGCATCTTCACCTTGACAGGCACATCATCCTGCTCTTGTCTTACTGATTATTATTTGTATTAAATATTTAACTTCGTACCATAACTTTGCATGGTGCTTCACAGAGAGGTTAAAAAGTCATGATCTCTGCCCTGAAGAATCTACAGTCTCTCAGACATACATAGAAACAGATGAAGTGAGGGATGAACATTAAAACAAAGATAAGGTGAGCAGCAAGGTATTGTGAATACTTTACTTTTGTCCTTCTGCGAAGGAGGAGGTAGGAGGAAAGTAGGGTGATCAGATGTCCCAATTTTTATAGGCACAGTCACGATATTCAGGGCTTTGTCTTATATGCCTATTAACAGCCCACTCCCATCCCGATTTTTCACATTTGCTATCTGTTTACCCTGGAGGAAAGGGCTGTTGTAGGTAAAATGGGAATGGTGCTTGTTGATGGAAAGTAAGAAAAAAAAATAGATTTCAGGAGATATTTGAAGGAGGTATTGATTGACACAAATGCCGATCACCCACAACTCTCACTGAAGTCAATGGAAGCTAAAATTGCTCATCATTTTTAAAAATCTGGCCACTTCTATTTGAATTCCTAAATATGGATTTAGGTTTTTTACATTAGGGAGCTTCATTTGAACATGTCACCCTTAATGACACCATAGACTCTCAGTATTATATCAATCTGCTGTAGATTAAGGTCTGGTCCAAAACTGGTACTCCTGGGAAAGGTTCATAGTCAGAAAATAAGATGAAAAATACCATTAAAAATTTCAGACAGTAGCTAAACAAACTGTTCATCCTTAAACACCGTGCCCTATAAATCCAATCTTGACATTTTTAATCTCCTGAATTCTGCCTGATGCTGGTCAGACAGAACTCTTCCACATTGTCCATTCTCAAATGAAACTGAATGCAAATGTGAAAAGCCAGTATCTCTTTAGTGTGGCCTATGATGGGGTTCAGATTGGCCGTAGCAGCAATATCAAACAAACTTGAGAAATCTCGGACACTTAACCAAAACTTGTAGACTGCCTTGCAATTCCAAGAATGTGTCATCAAGTGGGGGAAGACATTTAGGAAACCTGTCAAATGCTTATCAATCATAACTGGCACAGTAAGCAGTCTCTTGTGTGTGGATGCATCAAAACCATTCACTCAGAAATGACATAGCTGCGTGGACTGTCTAAATAGCTACCAGGCCAAGAAAGGTGATCAACCACTTCAAACAATGATGTCCCTTTGTGATTTCTTTGCTTCATGTAAAGCATTCCATACATAATATGGCTTAGTATTTGGAATATGCATTTTACTTGCTTTTTTTCAGTATGTTATAGACAGTGGTTGTCCTTAAAACATTTTTTTAAGCTGTTTAACCATTATCTCTGTATGTCCTCATCCTAAGTAAAGAAAATGCTTGCTCATACCTGTAATACAGTCCTAACAATAAAATAGAATGTAATTCAACAATGTAATTCAGTTTGTGCTAAATATGTAACTACCTACAAAGATTCGACTTATGTCCTCAACAATAGCCCCTCAGAAACCCATTGCTATCTAAATGGCATAAAATTAACTGAATACCATCTTATTTACATATAGTGCTTTTTATTGTATATATTTGATTTTCATCAATTAAAAACAGATTCTATGTTATAAGCAATTCCCCACACTTTAAACATTGCACTATATTGTATATCGACATGAGGTCCTTATATCTGGATATATGCTCTGAATAAAAACATAAGGGATTAATGCAAAATTTGCCTCTTATAATCACTACATTTGTTCTTGATTAGTTTCTATGAAGAAAGTCAATAGAAATATTCTTTAGAATCTGCGACCAAATCCAGAGATGCTGAGCACGTGTAATTACCAATAGATGCACAGAATCCCTCAGGAGCTTGCCCCTGCAGATTTTGTAGCTGAAAAGTAAACAGTCTCTGGCCACACAGTATATGCTTCTTGGACTTGATCCTGCAAAGTGCTGAGCGCTCCTAGGAGGTGCAGAGCGAACTCACTGAAGTACCTAGGAGTTGAGGGTGCTCAGCAGCTTGAAGGTTTCAAGCCCCTGCTGACCATATTTCAGTGTGAACCATTCATCATCTATAATGTCCCATTGTGGGCAAATCTAGAGTTTATGTTTGAAACTTCAGCAAATATTTCCTAGAGGGGCGAGGGAGGGGAGTTATGCCAAGCTTAAAATGCTGAATCTGCAACATCTTCCATAATTCAGGCTTTAATACTCAATATGCCATAGAATCATTTCACTACATTATATTATGTCATGTAGTTTAGATAGTTTAGATATGGGACTGGGAGGCAGCAGTTCTGACACACTGTTTGTGTGACCCTGGGGAAGTTGCTAAAGAATCTCATAAACAATAGATGTGGAATTAGAGTGGGCATGTTTGTCAGGCCCTTTGTACTTAAAGTTCTCACACTATTTCCATCCTAGATGGCTTTTTTTTTTTGGCATGTAACATTCTATTCTTGTGTATATTGATATGCCTATCCTTGATTTTTATTGACACACGCGTGTCATATACAAACCTGCTTATTATAATCATGCAAAGCTCCCAGATCTAATTTGCCCACTGTGTAACACATAATTTGTCTCTTTTCTATTATATTTTTGTTAGTGCAGTAACATTTGATAACATGCCCTGAAGATCAAAGATCAGAGCTGTGTACTCTGCCTGCTTATTTTGATACTCTAACTATAATACAGTATAGTAAATTATTATCAGTACAACAAAATGTCACATTGTTATTGGAATAAGGAATATACAGTACAATCCTTCTAGAATGAAACTATGTTTTGCATCTTTTATTAGCTTTTATCTCTTTAAAACATAATGCCAAAACCAAAATAAAGTGTTACATTTCTATGGTAAATTCGTTTACTTTTCCATTCACCTAGCAATAATAGCTGTGGATATGAAACCAGATGATACACTTTTATTTTAATATATTAGATGTCACAATATAAAAACAAATTTCCTTGTGATAGCTAATATAGCTCAGATACATATGTAATTTTGTCCATTGGTACTCAAAAAAAATGTAAAATACTAAAATCATATACAAAGTATCAAAGCACTATTGCCAAGGAACATATAACACACTACCTTTTTCCAGGCATCTTATTTAAAGTTTTCTAAAAGTTCGTCTTCTCTAAATGGTAACATATTCATAAAGCGGACCCAAGTGTCATGCTGTTCTGACCAAACATTATCTCTCCAGGAAATTGAAAATTCTTTATTAAAAATGTTATGTTTATTTTCCTGAGAGTTCTTTCAAACTCTTTGTAACCTTGGTCAATGATAAATTGTAGTATGTTGTTAACCAAGATCCTGAATAAAAATGTAAAAAGCCAAGATAAGCTCTTTATAGGTCAAGTTGATTTTTTCAAATACCTATCCTAATTGAAATTTACACATTATATAGCCATCAAAAAACCATAGAAAATGAAAATACTTAAACAAATCCCTGTTAAAACATAGCTTTAACCTAACAAAAGCGAAGGGTGGTATGCTGGCCTTTAAAATGTGTTAAAGGCTTATACAATGACCACAACACAAAGGAACAGAATAGAAAGATTGAGATAACAAAGGATTCATTTCCTTAATGTGAACACAGTTTGTTGAGTTTTATTTTCATTATTCAGCACTTCCTTTGTCGTAATCATAGAGAATCATAGAGTTATAGAATATCAGGGTTGGAAGAAACCTCAGCAGGTCATCTAGTCCAACCCCCTGCTCAAAGCAGGACCAACCCCCAACTAAATAATCCCAGCCAGGTCTTTGTCAAGCCTGACCCTAAAAACCTCTAAGAAAGGACATTCCACCACCTCCCTAGGTAACCCATTCTAGTGCTCATCACCCTCCTAGTGAAAAAGTTTTTCCTAATATCCAACCTAAACCTCCCCCACTGCAACTTGAGACCATTGCTCCTTGATCTGTCATTTGGTACTATTGAGGACAATCTTGATCCATCCTCTTTGGAACCCCCTTTCAGGTAGTTGAAAGCAGCTATCAAATCCCCCCTCATTCTTCTCTTCTGCAGACTAAACAATCCCAGTTCCCTCAGCCTCTCCTCATAAGTCATGTGGTTCCACCTCCCTAATAATTTTTGTTGCTCTCCGCAGGACTCTTTCCAATTTTTCCACATCCTTCTTGTAGTGTGGGGCCCAAAACTGGACACAGTACTCCAGATGAGGCCTCACCAATGCTGAATAGAGGAGAATGATCATTACCCTCAATCTGCTAGCAGTGCTCCTACTTATACAGCCCAAAATGCCATTAGCCTTCTTGGCAACAAGGGCACACTGTCAACTCATATCCAGCTTCTCTTCCACTGTAACCCCTAGGTCCTTTTCTTCAGAACTGCTGCCTAGCCATTCAGTCCCTAGTCTGTAGCAGTGCATGGGATTCTTCCGTCCTAAGTGCAGGACTCTGCACTTGTCCTTGTTGAACCTCATCAGGTTTCTTTTG